ATCAGAAGTGGAGCAGCCAGGACTTGAACCAACGCTCAAATGGGATGTTGGTGTCACAGGCGGCTGCTTAAAACACGGGACCCTACCGCCAGCCTGGACTCTTGCAGTTTCCCTCCCCTTTGTGAGCCCCAGGATCCCATCCAACCACTGGCCCTACTGAACTTGGCTCAGAAGCACGTTTGACCTGGAGTCTTCACAGGGCCTCAGTGAGACTGCTTCGGATGAGCCTTCCTGGGAGTGGGGGCGGGGGGCTCTGAGCCAGGAGTGGCCAAGTCCCCGTTTCCCTCTTCTGGAGGGAGGACCCATCTGAATACTTGGTATTTGATTCTCTGCCCAGCATCCTGGGGAGAAGACCCAGGCCCTGCCCCTAGGGTCCCAGGCAGGACCAACTACAAAACTGGAGAGCCCTTTGTTCAAATATTAAGTGTTGCAGGGACGGCAGCATTGAAGCAGGCGCGGTGCCTTTCTGGGCCCGGTGCTGCTGCGTGGGCTACTCGTCCCTGAAGCCAGCCAGGACTGAAGGCAGCCTGGGAGCGGCAGGTTCTCGGTGGGGGGAGGCGGGGTGTCATGTGGCTCCCGGCAGGAGCCAGGCCAGGCGGACTGACCCCCATGTCCACGTGGTCCGTCTGTGAGAACTCTCAGGCCACAGAGCCTGTCCACACTCATTGCCTAGCCCTGTGGGCCGTGCCAGAAGGGCTAGGGTTCCATTGGACAGATGACGAGACTGAGGCCCACGTTCGTCAGAGTCTGACCATTTGGCCCGCTTCCTTGTGAGGGACAGGCAAGGCATGGAGCTAAGATGGGCTGGGGACTGGAGGTGGCCAGCTCCAGCCTTCCCAGCAGCCTCTGGGGCTCAATCCAGCACACAGCATGGAGTCGACAGGCCGGGACGCAGCGGCCAAGGTAAACAGAAAGGTCTCCCTACCTCACAGCAGCTGGCCCAGGAGGGAATTCCGGGGCAAGCCCCGGCACGCTGCTCGCGGCTCACTGCCCAGATGCCCCTGGGCCCCCCGCCCCTCCAGAGACCAGGACTTTGTGCTCCCTGGGCCCCCATACGCCTCCTCTCCCGGTCAGGGGGAGGGACCAAACTGGGGCTGCGTCAGGAAAAACAAGGAAGAAAACCAGAGCAGAGGAAGGAGGGCACGTGTGCACCTCTGCACTCGCCAAGCGTCCGCAGCGGCTTCACGCGAGCCCTCAGCAGGTGCAGGATGGGCAAGCTGCAGAGGGACCGAGCTTGTACAACGTCCCAGTGAAGCAGAAACAGTGCTGAGCCAAGAGGCGCAAGAAAGAGCTCGTGTGTGTGTGTGTGTGTGTGTGTGGTGCTTCGGCTTCCGTGAGGCTCTGGAAAAGGCAGAGCACCGCCCCGGTGGGTGGGTGGGTGGGTGGGTGACAGAGGCCCAGGGGCTGGGGACAGCAGGAGGGAACCACCTGAAGGGCTGCATTGGGGTGGGCGTGGCTACACGCATTGGTTGCAAGGCACTGCAAGTGACTTCACACCCCAACACAGTTTGATTTAAGGGGTCAAATGAGGCGCCCGTGTTGGGGTTCAACTGGTGAAGCCGCTGCTTGAGACTGACAAATTCTCTCAGAGTCCCAGCCACTCTGCGTCCAATCTAGCTCCCTGCTACCGTGCCTGGGAAAGCAGTGGATGAGGGCACAAGTGCCACTCACATGGGAGACCCGGATGGAGTTTCTGGCTCCTGGATTTGGCCTGGCTCAGCCCCAGTCATTGCAACCTTTTGGGGGTTGACCCAGTAGGTAGAAGAGCTCTCTCTTTGTCTCTTCCTATCACTCTGCCTTTCAAATCAATCTTTAAATAATAAATAAATAGGAGCCGGCGCCGCGGCTCAATAGGCTAATCCTCCGTCTGCGGCGCCGGCACACCAGGTTCTAGTCCCGGTCGGGGTGCCGGACTCTGTCCCCGTTGCCCCTCTTCCAGGCCAGCTCTCTGCTGTGGCCCGGGAGTACAGTGGAGGATGGCCCAAGTGCTTGGGCCCTGCACTCACATGGGAGACCAGGAGAAGCACCTGGCTCCTGGCTTTGGATCAGTGTGGTGCGCCGGCCGCAGCGCGCCGGCCGTGGTGGCCATTGGAGGGTGAACCAATGGCAAAAGGAAGACCTTTCTCTCTGTCTCTCTCTCTCTCACTGTCCACTCTGAAAAAAAAAAAATAGGACAAAATGAGAGGGGTGCATATTTGGGGGGTACATATTTGGTACAACAGTGAAGCTGCAGGCTGGGATGGCTGCACCCCCTAGGGGAGTGCCTGGATTCATGCCCCCCACACTCCCAGCCAGCCCCCCCCCCCCCGCTAATGTGCACCCTGGGAGGCAGCAGGTGGTAGCAGGATTCCTGTCACCCACATAGGAGCCCTGGGTTTAAACTCTGGATCCCGCGTTGTGTACTGGCTCAAAGCCTGGTTTTGAAAAGAGGGAGTCCGGGGGCAGATTGTTTCCCCGGAACACAAGAACCACAAAAATGAGGTGGATGAGCGTGTGGCCACCTGTGGAGGAGAGGTATCAGCGACAGCACAGCAGAAGCCTCTCGGAGGAAGGAGGAGGGAGACCTGCAGTGACGCTCAGGATAGGGGCTCTGGCCTGCTCACAGCCCACGCAGGGGGACAGAGCAGCTGATCCTGGGGCCGCAGCTGCACTCTCCAGCCCTGTCCGTGGACACCTGCCTCTTTCAACATCCACTTGATGGTCTCAGCTACACTGGTGCAGAGCCCGGTCCAAGCCGGTGTCTGGAGGGCTGCTGGCACTGCGTGAGTCCCAGGGGCACCAAAGTAGGCCCAGGTTGGGTGGGAGTTGGACTGCGGTATATTTCCTGCATGTTTGGGGTCCTGGGGCAGGGGGTCTCAGGAGACCACCTGGAGCCTCTGCCCATCTTCTTGAGGGCTCAGGCTGGCCTCCAGGCCTGGGCAGTGGCTCCAGGATGGGCACTGGCCCCCTCCACCCTCTGCAGAGCTGCTAAATTTAGCCAGGCAGGGCAGGCCACGGTGGGGCTGAGTGCTTGGCAGCAGGGCCTCGTCTCCCTACAAGGCCCGAGCCAGTGCCCGAGCCGGCCACCCGGCCTTTGGGCTTATAAGGCAGGCCTGCCGGCTCTCAAGTGCCGGAGCCTTCCCGTGGGCGCCCAGCCCAACCCTCAGACTTTGGGGAGCCTCCTGCTATGTGGCCTTGGAACAGGTGCTCGGCACCCAGAGCCCTGGTTTCCTCATCTGAAAAGTGGGGGTTCAAGCATGTACCCCTACAGGGTATGTGACCCCCTCCCCAGTGTGTGGAACTCTGACCTCAGCCGTGCGCAGCCCTGCCCCCTACGATGTCTCAGACAAGCACAGGCGTCTGAAGCTGAGGATGCTGGGGTGAAGGTCAAGGGTGGGAGCACGCAGGCCTCCGATGCAAAGATGCATCTCAGAGCCAGCAGAGGAAGGCTTGCTTCCAGCCGCTGCTTACCTCGCCCGTGCAGAGTTCCTAGCAAGGCAGAAGTGGGGTATCGGAGCAGCATGTTGGACATGATGCTGCCTCCCGATGACTGGCCTCCATGCCAGTGTGCCTTCTGAATGCCAGGGCGGTGCCCAGGCTGTGACAGGCTCACACGTGCACTCCCGGCAAGCCTGCCTGTCTGCCTTCAGCAGGGGAGGGGGTCGTGGTGGTGCCGTGAGTGGCGGTCACAGCAGAATACCTCCCTCCCCATCCCCGCCTCAGCGCCGTTCCCTGCATGTGTCAGGGAGACAGGGCGGGGGGACCAAAGGACCCCGGGGATGAGCCAGCCCCCGGCCCCTTTACAGGAAGCTCATGTTCTGGGACCTTCCATTCCCACAGCCACGAGGTCAGCTGGGAGAACTGGCCCTTTAGTCCAGGGTCACCATCAGGTCAAGGGCCCCTGCGGCCACGGCTCCAGCTCCCAGAGTGCTTGGATTTTTCCTTGGAAAAGCCCAGCACACGGCTCTGGCCAGTCATTTAAGAAGGAGGGGCAGGACAGTTGAGCCAAGAGATGGCCGCAGGATTAGCAGGGTGGAGGTGGGGGGCCTCTGGGGGTGAGGCGGTTCCCTGGGGCAGCAGGAGGGCCAGGCCTGGGGCACTGGGAGGGCTGTGGGCCTGCCCTCTGCCAGCCGTCCCTGCTGTGCAGGAAGCAGCTCACCCAGACACTGGGATTCCCACCCGGGGCCTGGCTCCCCGCCCGGAGCCGTTTCCCAGAGAATGGGCTGCCTGCCACGGAGAAGAGCCCTTTCCAGCCCTGTGGGTGGGGGAGCAAGGGGGGCAGGAGGGGGGCACCGGGGAACCTCCTGCTTCAGGTCTGCACCTCCAGCACCAGCCCAGCTGAGCTTGGGCAACTCGCTTCTCTCTGGGCTTCCGTTTCCCCATCTGGGGCTGCAGAGGCCTGGGTTAAGGCTGAAGAAGGACTGGACTCCAAACTCAATAGGGGCCCCAAGTTCTGCTGTCAAGCCCGTCCCCCCCCTTGACCTTGGCCTGTGAGCGCACAGGCTTGGAGAGGCATTGGGAGCCACCCATGGCCCCCGGCCAGCAAAGCACAGCTGGGGAGGGCTGATGTCTTGTCCCCCTTCTCCCCACGGCAATGCTTGATAGGCGTGGCTCTTGTCCTGTCTGGGCACCTGTCCCCTTCCTCCTTCTTGGTGGCAGGGAGGTGTAGCTGGGCAGGTGCAGGTAGAGGGAGCGGCCAGCACAGTGCAGAGGCGGATCAGGCTCAACGCAGCCTCGAACCCAGGGATGCCTGCAGGCCCAGGGGTGGGGTCCTGGCTGCAGCTCGGCTCAGGAGGTGTCAGGCAGCAGGACCTGAAGCAGCTCAGCTGCTTCTGCACGCTTGCTGCAAGCCCCCAGGGACCATAGTGCTCACCTGGGAGGAGGGGGCAGCTGATGGGGGGCCCTGTGTGGGCATGGGAGTGGGGAGGGGTCCCCAGCTGTGGGGGAGCTGTAGCCTTAGGCCATCCCGCCTTCGCAGGGCCCCTGGCTGGTGCCCCCACTCCTTCTTGCCGGGTTCGTGGGCAGGGGTGTGGGGGGGGTGCCTGATGGCTTTATCTCTGCCTCTGTGACCAGTGGTCAGTGGTTTCCTGCCAACAGCTCCTGTTTCCGGAGGCCCAGCAGGGCCCAGGCGGAGCCAGGAGGGGCAGTGGGGCTGGGCCTGGGTGGCCCCACCGGCCCCGCCCCCGTCTATCTTTGGGAATTTATTTGTCCACGGCCACGGCTTGTCCGCAGTCCACTGCTTGCTGGGGACCGAGAGCCGCTCTGACCACCCGAGGATTCTCCCTCCCAACCCAAACGCCGCCCACTGACCTCTGACTCCTGACCTCTGGCCCCAGAGCCCTGGCCCCACTGGTCCTGCCCCGTGCTTCCTAGGGGTCTGGGGAGCCCCCAGAAGCTGTAGGCGTGGCCGGGAGTGAGCCCGCCTGGCCCACCATGGCACGGCGGCTCCAGGACGAGCTGGCCGCCTTCTTCTTCGAGTATGACACCCCCCGCATGGTGCTCGTGCGCAACAAAAAGGTGGGCGTCGTCTTCCGCCTCATCCAGCTCCTGGTCCTGGCCTACGTCGTGGGGTGAGTCCGGGGCCCCTGGCTTGCTCCAGGCCTGTCCCTGGAGGTCAGGCTGTGGGGCGTCCCCACACTGCCGGAGCCCCCGTTTCTCCCCACTCACTGGAGGGCCTCCCCACCTGCCCAGCCACCATGCTATCTGGGAGGCATGCAAAGCCTGGCAAGATGTCCGAGATGGGGACACTGAGGCAGAGGGAGGCCCTGGCTGGGTCACACCGCGCACGAGCAGCCGAGCGCTGGGCTGGGTTCTGAGGAACCATCGGTGTTGGCGATTCCACAGCCAGAGTCCTTCTATCTCTGTGTGGCCACCAAGCCTGCCTCCCCCTGAGAGACAGAGGCCGCACCCCACTTTACCCAAATTAGGGACATCCTGGGATATCTGAGCAAGGCTGATTCTGCACGGCTTCCTGGTCAGGCTGGAGGTCAGCTCGGGTCCCAGGATGGCGACTCTTTTCTGGGCATCTCTGGACCTGTCCCCCTGTACCGGGAGCACAGGGCCAGAGTATGGCAGGGCTCCCTCTGCTGGCTGGCCAGCCTGGGCACTATGCCAAGGCCAAGTTCCGGTCTCGCTGTCCTGGGATGGCTTGCACGCCTGGCGAGTCTTGCACGGGCACATGGGTGTCCCAGCCGGGCTCTGGGTCCATGCACCTGCCCTCCTGTGTCTGATGTGTGCCCAGCGGGTGTGCTGCTGGGCGTCCCTGGGGCTGGGTACCCTCAGGTGTGTGTCTTTGTGTGTGTGCACCTGGCTGTGTCCACACCTGTGCTGGGGCTGAGGTGGCTCGGTGCCCAATGCACGTCCCCTGTGTGTGTCCACTCATAGCAAGTGTGCAGAGGACTCTTGCCAGGGGTGGGGGGGAGGGTGTTGACAGCACCCGGCAGCCTGGCCTGCCTTTGCTATGTGATTCTAGGACTCTCTGTTCCTCATTTTGGCCTCGGATATGAATCTGCATTGCTGAATGGAGCCAGGACCAGCTGACCAGGTCCTAGACAGTGGCCTTGTGACCCTGGTCTCCCCAGAACTTCTGTTGTTCAAACACGCTTGTCTCTGCCTGACCGCAGAGCCGCTCAGATGCGGCCAGAGCCAGGCCCTCAGGATGTCTCTCTCTCTCTCTCTCTTTTTTTTTTTTTTTTTTTTGACAGGCAGAGTGGACAGTGAGAGAGAGAGACAGAGAGAAAGGTCTTCCTTTGCCGTTGGTTCACCCTCCAATGGCCGCTGCGGCCGGTGCACCGCGCTGATCCGATGGCAGGAGCCAGGTGCTTCTCCTGGTCTCCCATGGGGTGCAGGGCCCAAGCACCTGGGCCATCCTCCACTGCACTCCCTGGCCACAGCAGAGAGCTGGCCTGGAAGAGGGGCAACCGGGACAGAATCTGGCCCCTTGACCGGGACTAGAACCCGGTGTGCCGGCGCCGCAGATGGAGGATTAGCCTATTGAGCTGCGGTGCTGGCCATTGAATGTCTCTTGTTAGGGAAACAGACGCAGAGGCACTGTGGGGTCACACAGCAAGTCAGCGGCAATCCAGGGTTAGACTGAGGTCCCCGAATCCTGGGCCGCTACTCTGGCTTCTTACCAATATCGCAAGGGTTTGGGGACCCCCTAATGGGCAGTGATGGGGAACAGGTGTCAGGCCCAGGACCGGCCTAAAAGCCTCACTCCTGACACTCTGGGGTAGAGAGAGGCCATCCGCTGGGGCCCAGTCTGCTTAAGAGGATGGGAGATTGCTGTCCTCACTCTGGCCCCTATTTCTGCCTTCAGAGCAGTGACCCTGAGCAGGGCTAGGGCCCTCTCGAGCGCTGGTCACAGCTGTCAGAGAGGAAGGGACAACCCACCCTCCTAGTGGCAGTACCCACCCCACGCTGCCCTCCTGCCTCTCTGCCTGCCTCCCTCTGCGAGCCAGTGGGGGACCGAGGCACAGTGACTTGGCTGGATCGTGTGGCTGGGGAGAGGCTCAGCAGGAGTTGAACCTGATTTGCAAGGCTCCAAAGTCAGCCTTGACATCCTGGGAAGGAATCATCATCAAAAAACAGCAGCTAGAAGGGGCAGGATCTACGCTCCCCACGCCCAAGCCAGGCTTCCTCCTGCCGTCTCTGTCGCCCTCGTCTGGCCACTGCCCAGGACTGCATGGTCTCCTCCACTGTGCGCTCCCAGCTGCAGACCAAATCTCCCACGCAGCCTGGATCTGATCCCGGCATCTCTGGCCTCTGTTTCCCAACCGTGACACGGGACAGCCCCGAGACTTGCACTCTCGGCTCGGAAGACGGTAGCACACTTGGCGCTGTCTCACGCGGGTGAGAGCGGTCCTCCAGGAGCTCACAGGCCTGTGCTGTGTTCCTGCCTGGGTGGGGGGAGGGTTTGGCTGCAGCACACAGGAGGACCCCCAGAGGTTTTGTGAATGCTCCTTGGGGAGGGGGGGCCTGGGAAGACTTCCACAAGCTGGCACCGTGGTGGCAGTGGCCGGGCGCAAAGGCCGGGGAGTCAGGGGCCCGGCAGGTCTTGTTGGCGCTTCCTCTCCTCGTCCCTTCTGGACCTCTTTCCGCGTCGGTCCTGGCAGTCTGAGCTCCCGTCTACTGGGTAACCTCTCCAAATGACCACAGTGGCCAGGGCTGGGCCAGCCCAAAGCCAGGAACTGGGACTTCAATGCAGGTCTTCCCTATGGGTGGCAGGGATGCAACCAATTAGGCCAGCGCCTGCTTCCTCTCGGAGTGCACATCGGCAGGAAACCAGACTCAGAAGTGGAGCCAAGAATCAAACCCAGACACTCTGAGTTTCCAATGTGGGATGCAGGCCTCCTGCTGCCCCCTGCTGCCTGCCCCTGCTCCATAGAATCATGAGTTCTGAGCTCTCCAAGCGGCTCCTGGGAGAAGGTTAGCTAGAAATCACTGCTCAGAGAAAGGCATCCAGGGATGGTGACAAGGACACAGTGTGGGCAGGCGGACGGGGACGAGCTGAGGAGGAATAAGCCAGCCAGCCTTCGGTTCCCAAAACAGAAGCCCAGCCAAACTGGATTCAAAGGAAGGCTGAGGCTTCAATTGGTTCATGCAACTGAAAACCCACGTGGGTCCCTGCCTGGCTGGAGCCTGCTTGACAGGTGCACGGGGGAAGGAGCTTGACAGTGAGCTGAGCAGTTTAGGGTGGTCCAGCCTGGGTTCCCAGACAAAGCTCTCCAGGGTCTGTCTGCTCTCAGCTGCGTGATGCTCTGTGGGGGCTTCATTCTCAGGCAGGCTCTGTCTTGCTAGTGACAAAACAGCTACCATCAGCTCCCAGCAGATACGCCCTGAACTCAGCCACCCCTGAGGCTCAGCTGCAGCCCCTACCTCTGGAACTCCGGCCAAAGTCCCAGGTCTGACTCTGATTGGCTGGGCTGGGGTCATGTGCCCCCTTCCAGAACCAATCCTTGTGGCCAAGGAGACAGCATGCTCTGATTGGAGGAGTCTGACTGTGTGCCCACCCCAATCCAGGCCAGCCTATGGGGAAGCTGCGTGTGAGCAAAGGCCTGGGCCAGGCGCAGAACACGGGAGTCGCTAGGACTTGGCTAGAGGCTGCATGAAAGGCACCAAGGGAGAGGATGTGGAGGGGGAGCAGGGCCTCTGGCTGGGGAACCCGCAGGCAGTAGGGAGCCATGGAAGGCTGTCCAGCAGGGGGGGAACCGGGAAAGGCAGAGGTGGGGGCGGGGGCTGCAAAGAGGCAGCAGTGCGGGGAAGAGAGGGTGGGAATGAGGCAGTGAGCTTGGGGACAGCAGTCCACCCTGCTGCCCCTCACTGCTGGCCAGCCAGCACGGCCAGCATTTCTAACTTCACAGGACAAGTGGGAGACTGGAACTGATGGATGGCTTTTAGAGGTTGGTGACTTACTCCAAAACTTTAAAAACACGGGGGAGAGTGGTTGGCACAGCAGTTAGGACGCACTCGGGATGCCCGCGTTCCCTGTTGGAGCGCCTGCTTCGAGTCTCGCTCCACTTTCCATCCGGCTTCCTGCTGCTTCTCCCCATGGGAGGTAGCAGATGATGGCACAGACACTGGGGTCCCGGCCACCCACGTGGGAGATCTGGATTGGGTCCTGGCTTTGGCCTTGATCCAACTCTGGCTGCTGCAAGATTTTGGGGAGTGAAGCAGTGGATGGAAGCTCTCTCTGCCTCTCAAATAAAAAATAAATAAATACAAACTTATTAAAAATTATAAAAATTGAAAACCACAAATTACAGGCCAGAGCAGTCTGCAGGCTGCATGTTTATTAGCCTGTGAGTGCAGAGCCCGGCCCCTGGCTCTGAACTCTGTCCCCCCTGGGTCTGGAGCCTGGGCTGGCCCCTCCCTGAGGCGGCTGCTGCCCCTGTGCCCCATGGCTACACCGGGTGTCTCACCAGCCTCCAGCCCTCTGAGCCCCAGCACCTGCGCCAGCTCCTCCCTGCCTCAGCCCCTCCCAGCCAGCCCCTCTGGGTCCCTAGCTAAAAGCCAAGAGCAGACAGGAAGATCAGAGCATGTGGGGCCAGTGGGCAGGGCCGCTGTGGGGATGGTGCCCAGGGCCCAGCCCAGGGGACGGCCAGGATGCAGGAGCAGGTTCTGTGGGGCTGGCAGGGCTTCCAGTGGGTTGCGTTGAACTTGAGTTGTGTGGTGCTTAGTGCTGGCTAAGCGTAGCATTCACCCTTTAAGAAAGCACTAATTTCTGGGTATCAAAATAAACTTACCTTTTAATTCTACTTTCCACAAACTTTTTGAAGTACCCTTGTATGTACCCAAGGGTGGCTTACTGGGTCAAAATGGAATTCTGCATTTAACTTTAAATTTTTATTTATTTCAGAGGGAGGGAGGGAGGGAGGGAGGGAGGGAGAAAGAGAGAGAGAGAGAGAGAGAGAGAGAGAGTTTTCCATCTGTTTGTTCACTCCCCAAACGCCTGCAACAGCCAGGACTGGGCCAGGCCCACATTGGGAGCTGGGAAACCACTCCAGGTCTCCCACATGGGTGGCTGGAACTCAATGACTGGAGCCATCATCTGCTGCCTCCCAGGGTGCGCATTCGCAGGAAGCTGGAGTTAGGACCCGGATCCGGGCTCAAGTAGGCATCCCAGGCAGGGGCCTCACTGCTGTGCCTGTCGCCCACCCCCATTTCTCACCCCGCGAGGAGCTGCAGGACTGTTTCCAGGGCGGTCCCTTGAGTTGGAGGTGCCTGTGCCATGACTGAGGGTGGGGGCAGGGGGGACACGGCAGTCACCAAGCAGTTGGTGATGTAGGCGTTTCTATAAGTTCCCTGGGTGTAGGATTTTTGTTTGGTTTGTTCATTTCTGTATTTTTAGCATCTAGAACAGTGCTTGGCACACAATAGGGGCTTGGTAGGTAAATATTTGTTGAATGACTAAATGACTGTGTGGGACTGAATCTTGGAGAGGGTGCAGATCTGGAGGTAGAAATCTGGAGGCCTCTGCGTGTCTGTGACAGCTCCCGTGGACTCCCACGGGGCCGAGTCTGGGAGCCAGGCGAAGAGGGCAGATCAGAAAGGGAACCAGAGGGGGTGGAGTGGAGTCAGTGAAAGTGAGAGTTGTTAGTTATTGTGCACCTACTGCGTGCCATGTGCTGGGTGAGCTTCCTTGCAGAGAGCTCACGGGAGCTTCCCTTTGTGCCTTGGTCTCCAGTGGCACAGCCGGGAGCTGAGCACATGGTGGGACCTTGCTCTGTGTGTGCTACATGAGCAGCCGCACCAGAAAACCAGGGGTCAGAGAGGAAGCCACCTGGCTGGTGAGGGCCGGCACGCGTCGCCCTCCGGGAGGGGCCCTTGGAGAAGGAAGAGGAGAGGCTGGGATGATGATTTCTGGAAGTCCCGGTGTCTCTGATGTCAGAGCTGCTGGTGGTCTTCCCAGGATGGTGACAGGTCAGGTCAAGGCCTGGCTTTGGAGGGGCGGGCCTGGCACTGTGGGGATTCCGTTATCACCGGAACTGAGGTCATGAATGCTGCACTGGGCTTTTCGCCTTGATTCCGCAGACCAGCAGTGCTGGAAAACGCAGGTCGGTCCCAGCAGGCAGCCCGATGGCTTCGCCGTCCTCTGTGCTCCCGGCCCCTTCTCAGTGGAGAGGGTGTGGAGCCCTAGGCAGGTGCCGCAGCCAGGGCTGCCCGGTGCTGGCCTCTCACTCTGGGGAGGGCCTCGGCCCCGGGCCGTGGCTCCTTCATCTACATTATGGCGAGTCGGTACTGGGTGAAGCCAGAAATGCACCTGGCGTGTTGGGGCTGGGAGTGCCGACAAGGAGGGCAGTGGGGCTCCGAGTGTGAAGCAGCTGCACCACTGCACCCCGCCCCTGCCACCAACACTCCTGAAACCTTGGATGCAGAGCCAGAGGCCTTCCTGGAGGAAGCAACTGAGGGGGCTGTAGGTGGGCGACACCCCACGCTCCCTGTCTGGGTTGCAGGCAGCGGCCCGCTGTCGGCTCAGACCTTCCTTCAGCCTCACCTGTTGCTATGTAGGACCTGCAGGGGGCAGCAGTGACCGTGCTTGGCGAGCGAGAGGAGGGCTCGGCTCCAGGCCTGCCAGGGAGTGGTGCTTGGAAGGAGAGGATGCTACTGTGGGGAGAGAGTGGAGGTGGCTTGTGCTGCCTTGCCAGGGGCTGGAGCAGGGAGACAGCCCTTGGGGAACGAGCTGGGACTCTGGGATAAGAGACCTGGAGAATTCAGTTCTGGGCCGGAGCTCTGGGTGCCTGTGTTCTGCTCCGACAGGTGTGGCAGGAGGTGGAGGAAGCATAGGGTCTCCCAACTGCACACTCGCAGTTTCCCTCAAAACATACAGCAACACACACACACACACACGCAGGTGCATTTCCACCAACTCTGCATGTAGACGAGCCACTGCTCTGCAGAGACGTCCTGTCCGGGTCTCTCTCAGTTGTGGGCAGCAGAAGCCAAACCCAGACTGGAAGTGGGGCTGGTGCTGTGCTGCATGGCTTGGGCGGCCACCTGCAGCGCCAGCTTCTTGTATCTCAGCACTGGTTCTACTCCCGGCTGCTCCACTTCCCGTCTGGCTCCCAGCTCATGCGCCTGGGAAAGCAGCAGAAGATGGCTCAGGCACCTGGGCTCCTGCCACCCATGTGGGGACCCAGATGGAGAACCCCGAGGGCTTCAGCCTGGCCCAGACCTGGCTGCTGTGAGCATTCAGGGAGTAAACCAGCGGATGGGAGGTATCACCCCCATTTCCCTACACCTTGCCCTGTATTTCTTTCTTTTTCTTTCTCTTTTTAAAAAAGATTTATTTATTTATTTATTTATTTGAAAGTCAGAGTTACACAGAGAGAGGAGAGGCAGAGAGAGAGAGTCTTCCATCCACTGGTCCACTCCCCATTGGCTGCAATGGCTGGAGCTGCGCTGATCTGAAGCCAGGAGCCAGGAGCTAGGGTCTTCCTGCGCAGGTGCAGGGGCCCAAGTACTTGGGCCATCTTCTACTGCTTTCCCAGGCCACAGCAGAGAGTTAGATCGAAAGTAGAGCAGCCGGGTCTCGAACCGGCGCCCACATGGGATGTCGGCACTGTAGGTGGCGGCTTTACCCTCTACACCACAGCACCAGCCCCATCTTTTTTTTTTTTTTTTTTAAGATTTATTTATTTGAAAGACACAGTTACAGAGAGAGGTAGAGGGAGAGAGGTCGTCCATCCACTGGTTCATTCCCCAAATGGCTGCAACAGCTGAGCTAAGCTGATCCAAAGCCAGGAGCCAGAAGCTTCTAGTCTCCCATGCAGGTGCAGGGGCCCAAGCACTTGGGCCATCTTCCACTGCCTTCTCAGGCCATAGCAGAGAGCTGGATCAGAAGTGGAGCAGCCAGGTCTTGAACCAGCACCCATATGGGATACTGGTGCTGTATGCTGGGGCTTTAACTCACTGCGCCACTGCACCGGGCTCTGCCCTGCCTTTCAAACAAACAAAAACAAGCAAATAAATATTTTTTAAAGGGAGTTTATGGATAGCTTCTGGGCCTTTTGGCCAAGATCAAGTGCAGCAGAAAGGAGTTTATGGGCTAAGTAACTGAGAAATCCAGAGGCAGGCTGCGACACGGTGCAGGCCAGGCTGGATCCGGGTGCTGAAGCATCGTCGGGCGCTGCTCTTCTCCCTCTCCCCGCCCGGCTTTCCTCTAGGTCGGTTTCATTCTCAGGCCTGTTTTTTGGTCTGGTAGCCACTCTGCTTAGCTGCCCAAGAGAGAAGAGTTCTTTCCCAGGAATTCCAGGAACAATTCTGGCCTCATTGTTGCAACTCCCTGTGCTGTGTGTCACTCACTAGATCCATCACTGGTAGCAGCTGGCTGGGACATTGATAGGTAAGGCTTGGTTATGTGTCCACCCCTGGGGCCAGCAGAGAGCTCAGCCCCACCGAAGCTCCCACACTGAACGTGGAGGACTCAGAAGAGCGGGGGTTCTCAGTGCTGGGAATGCAAGGCTGCACTTTCCCAAGAACTCGGGGAGGCCTCCAGCCTGGGCCGTCCTCACCAAGGGCTCCACTGGGAGGCCGGAGCCTGCAAGCCCTGTGGAGGGCTGGTTCTCCCCCTCGGTCAGATAACAATACCTCATAGCATGACCGCACTCACACTGACTACATTTCACACCCCAATGCTGTTAGTCCATTTTACAGACGAGGAAGCTGAGGCCCAGAGGCGTTGGATAGGTCGCCCCAAACTCCACAGCCAGTGAATAGTGGAGCTGGGATTCAACCCTGGGCTGCTGGACACCCAAGGCCAGACTCCCCATCATGGTGCTTGGCAGGAAGGAAGGGCCACTTGGTTGGGGGCAAGTATTGGGGTCCCCCCCCAAAGCCAGCTCTTGGGAAAGAGAGAGACATCAGGAGGCCTCTTCCCTGGAAATCCAGATTTTCATGCCTCCAGCCCAAGATTTAGGAGCTTCTCCTGTAGAGGCTCCAACTTGCATCTGGGGCGGACAAGACGAAGCAGGTGACAGGTGCAGCTAATGCCAGTAAGGGCACGTGCACCTAGCTCTGGCCCCCATGCCGCCACCCCCGCAGGTGGGTGTTTGTCTACGAGAAAGGCTACCAGACTTCGAGCGGCCTCATCAGCAGCGTGTCTGTGAAGCTCAAGGGCCTGGCTGTGACCCAGCTTGGGGACGTCGGAGCCCAGGTCTGGGACGTGGCCGACTACGTCTTCCCGGCCCAGGTGAGCTGACTCAGGCCTACACCTTCCACCCACGGTGCCTGGCTCCGAGCTGTGGGAGGCTCTGTCCCCTCACCCCGAGGGATCAGTTCAGCTGCTATCTCGCTGAGTCTCAGTTCCCCTAGCTGTGAATGAGAGGCAGGAGCAGCCTGGTCATCAGCCCACTTGGACGCGCTGGAGTGTGGGGGCTGCCAAGTGTCCTGTGGGCCCCAGGGCCCTATGAGGACAGGATCTGGAATGTTGGGGGCTGCCCTCTCAGCTCGCAGCCCTGCCCACCCTCCCCCCTGCACCTCTCTTCCAGGGGGACAGCTCCTTCGTGGTCATGACCAATTTCATCGTCACGCTCCGGCAGACTCAGCGGCACTGTGCAGAGGTGAAGACTGGGGCGGGTGGGGGGTGATATGGAAGAGAAGGTCCCCTTGGGCACTGGAGCACATGCCAAGGTGGAACTTATGGCTTAGATTAACTGTCAGCCACCAGAGGGGCTGGGCCTCCCCCCAGTGCTGTGCCCAGCAAGACGCTGACCCTTGCTGCCTCCCAGGCCCTGCCCACTGACACTGATGTGGGCACCTGCGCGTGGCCCTGTGGGCTCTTCAGCATACTGGGAGGGGAAGGGAGGCTGTGAGTAGGGGTCGCCCCAAAGAGTCCAAGACTCTTCCCCTCGCCCACCCTAGAACTCTGGGGGTGGGAGGGGCTCTTCTCAAGCCCCCACCCAAGGGCTGGGGCCAGCAGCTCTCCCCTCCCCCAGCACCCAGAAGGGGGCACGTGCAGGGATGACAGCGGCTGCACCCCCGGCAAGGCAGAGAGGAAGGCCCAAGGTAAGGTCGGCTCCTCCCAGCAGCTCCCCTGCTCCTCCTGGTTCCAGGCCAGTGTCCTCCATGCCCGCCGGGCCTGTCCCTGCCTCGCTCCTTGCCCCGCCTGCTGGGCTCTCTCCCCTCCTGCCCACCGTGATGGGCTGCCCATCCCAGACCCAGCCACGTATCATCCCCAGGGCCTCCACTGCACTCCCAGCTTGGGGTGGGCACCCAGGGCTCCTCCCTCCTCCAGGCATCCGCTCAGGCAAGTGTGTGGCCTTCAACGACAGCGTGCGGACGTGTGAGATCTTCGGCTGGTGCCCCGTGGAGGTGGACGACCATGTCCCCAGGTAACTGACGCCTTTCTCTCCTGAGAGCCAAGAGCAGGGTCCCTGGCCGGGACACAGGGGCGCTGGGATAAGGAATGGGTCTGTCTCTTATTCTGACCCCGCTCTTCTGCCCCCACCCCTCACCCACCACCCCCGTCCATGTGGCCCAGGCCAAAGGTTTTCCCTGGGCCCTGGTCAAGAGGCCCTTGGGTCCACCACGGCGGCATACCAACCACCCCAGGCTGTGCCGAGCTCGGCGCACACAGCGGTGCTCCTGGAGAGGGGTGGTGAGTGACTGTGGTCTCCTCCAGCCCTGCCCTTCTCCGAGAGGCTGAGAACTTCACTCTCTTCATCAAGAACAGCATCAGCTTTCCACGCTTCAAGGTCAACAGGTGCGTGGGAAAGGTAGACAGGCAGCAGGCGGCACCCCAAGCTGTCCAGCTACTCTCAGGGTCTGTCTCTGTCCCTTCCTGCTGATTCTGCTCTGCAGGAGAAAGCCCGGGCTGCCAGGGTGGCAGCCTGGAGCCCGTAAGTGTCCCCAGAGCCTCTGGGAGGAGTGGGCACCTCCTGGCTCACTCATGGCTGCCATCACCCATGCCTTTTCCCACACTCCGTAGGCGCAACCTAGTGGAGGAGGTGAATGCCAGCTACATGAGGACCTGCCTGTACCACAAGACTGCGCACCCTCTGTGCCCTGTCTTCCAGCTCGGTTACGTGGTGCAGGAGTCAGGCCAGAACTTCAGCAGCCTGGCTGAGAAGGTACGGGAACGTCGCTGGGCGGAATGCCGGATGGGTGGGGTGGGCCGGGTTCAGGAGCATACTCAAGTTTTCAGGCCCTCTGGTGTGGGCTGAGGATATGTAGGGGTCTGGTCTGCAATTCTGGGTACCCCCGAGGGCCAGGCCTGTGTCCCCAGCAAGGGCTGGTGTCGATCTGGTGCTGTGGAGGGTCCCAGCAGGAATGGACATGATTTTGTCATGAAGGTCATGACCTTGTCACTCAATGTCCCATCACTGAAAGAATATTAGATAAAAGCAGCGTGAAGGCCATAGCCTGTGTTCCGGAGGAGTCCCGTGCCCCAAGTCTCCCCATCACCTGGGGTTCTAGGAGGAGCCGTGCCTATGAGGAATGCAGGCTTGGCCGACTGGGTGTAGTTTGGTCCCGACCCTGGCCAGCACACGGACCTCAGACAAGCCTCTTCCATTCGGCATATCTGAGCTCTCGCACCTGTCAAGTGGGGACAATCACAGAGCCAGCCCCGTGGAGCAGTCTCGGTCACGTGGCTTCTCACCCGTGACTCTCCAGGACCACGGGGCATGTGATGGCTCAACGTGTCTGTCCCCATGTGCCCTGCTCTGTCCCAGGGATGGAATTGAGTCCTTTTCCTGTGCTGTCACCAGAAGCCGCTTGTGACACCTCTGTCAACAGCAGAGGCCATCACTCCTTTTCTTTCGAGGGCCAGGGAGGACTTGTGCTCAGCTTTGCAGGCTGGCTGGCCGGTCTCTGCGCCAGCGCCCCACGTCAGCCACAGGGGCGGGGCAGAAGCAGCACGGTCAGTTAGCAGTGGGTGGAGCCAGCTTTGGTTGGAAGAGCATGGTGTAGTCTAGCAGTGGCCAGGAGACTGAGATGTGGAGTGGGATGCGGTGGCGGCAAGGCCGGAAGATACAACAGGGTTCTCACCCCAAAGCAGCTTTCCACAAACAAAACACATTTTCCCTTCCAGACATTGCCTGTACCAGCTATGAGAAGGGGGTTTTTTAAAATATTTGCTTATTAGGCCAGCGCCGCGGCTCACTAGGCTAATCCTCTGATTGCGGCGTTGGCACCCCGGGTTCTAGTCCCGGTTGGGGGCACCAGATTCTGTCCCGGTTGCTCCTCTTCCAGTCCAGCTCTCTGCTGTGGCCAGGGAGTGCAGTGGAGGATGGCCCAAGTGCTTGGGCCCTGCACCTGCATGGGAGACCAGGAGGAAGCACCTGGCTCCTGGCTTCAGATCGGCACAGCGTACTGGCTGTAGCAGCCATTTGAGGGGTGACCAATGGAAGGAAGACCTTTCTCTCTGTCTTTCTCTCTCTCACTGTCTAACTGCCTGTCAAAAAATTTGTTTATTTATTTTCTTTTTATATACTTATATTCACATTTATTTATTTGAAAGGCAGAGTTACAGGGAGAGGGAGAGACAGAGAGAGAGCTTCCATCTACTGGTTCACTTCCCAGATGGTCACAACAGCCAGGGCTGGGCCAGACTGAAGCCAGGAGCTTCATCCAGGTCTCCCACGTGGGTGCAGGGACTTAAGGACTTGGACCATCTTCTGCTGCTTTCCCAGGCGCATTAGCAAGGAGTTGGATCTGAAGTGGAGTAGCCAGGACTTGAACCTGTGCCTAAAGGGATGCCAGTATCACAGGCAGTAGCTTAACCTGCTGTACAACAATGCCAGCCCCCACTTCCTAGTTATTTGCATTTACTTGAAAGGGGGGGGGAGAGAGAGAGAGAGAGAGAGAGAGAGAGAGAGAGAGAGAGAGAGAGATGGCTGCAATAACCAGGGCTGGGCCAGGTCAGAAGCAAGGGCTGGAACTCCTTCCAAGTCTCCCACATGAGTGGCAGCTTCCACTGCCTTCCCAAGCTCATTAGCAGGAAACTGGATTGGAATAGAGCAGCCACTACGATATGGGAGGCTGGCATCCCAGGCAGCGGCTTAACCTGCTGCACCGCCATGCCAGCCCCTGAAATCCCAGATCTTAAACGCCTATGTCCCTGGCAGGGTGGAGCAGTTGGCATCACCATCGACTGGAACTGTGACCTGGACTGGCATGTGCGGCACTGCAAACCTATCTACGCCTTCCATGGGTTGTATGCGGAGAAAAATCTGTCCCCTGGCTTCAACTTCAGGTAGCTGCCAGCCCCTCCTGCACAACATCCTTCTTTGGAGCCTATGGCTCTTCAACTTGCAGAAACCCTTGGGGCTGAGCAAGTGTGCCCAGAAGGGAGCAGAGGATCCTGGGTAGCTCTAGTTCTACCAGGATAGCCAGACAGAAAGCCAGCAGGGAGCAAGTGTCCCCTCCCCCTGGATCTCAGTCCCCTTGAGGCCCACCTGGCCGTGACTGGCTGGAGAAACCGCTGATGTCTGGAGCTGGGTGAGAGCAGGGTCTGGCCTTCTTGGAAGGGGCCTGGGACCTGGGGTGGGGCTGTGCTCAGACCTCTCCAAGCCCCTGCGTCCTGGTGCTGAGAACTTCAGAGCTGAGACAAGGTTCTGCACAACCTCCTCCTGCAATCCCCCCCCCCCCCACGCCAAGGTTTGCCAGGCACTTCGTGGAGAACGGGACCAACTACCGTCACCTCTTCAAGGTGTTCGGGATTCGCTTTGACATCCTGGTGAATGGCAAGGTGAGTGTCCAGAGTAGGGGGAGGCAGCTGGGACACATCCTCGCCTGCACAGTCTTAAGAACAAATGGGAGCACGGGTGACATTGAGGCCTGGGCTTGGCAGACAGTGCCCATACCTGCCCCAAGCTGTCCCTAGAGGAAGGACAACCCCCAGGGACCACGTTGAGCCAGAACTCAGGGCAGCAGGTGGTGGGGACCATTCTCAGCCCCTTTGTCTCAGGCCTGGCCTTGCCCAGCTGGGCTCCTTCTGACTGTTAACCCTTCTGTCCCCTGGGCCCTGCCACCAGGCCGGGAAGTTTGACATCATCCCCACCATGACCACCATCGGCTCTGGGATTGGCATCTTCGGGGTGGTAAGTATGGGGGTCACCAGGCTACTGCGCTGGGGTTGTGCCCTTCCTCTTTCACATTGGGGTAGCAGCAACAGGTCCCTCGCCCCACGACTTGACCATTACTGTCCACGAGTGAGCCAGCAGCTGCCCCGCCCCCACCTGACCACAGTGCCTCTGAGGAAACTGAGGCCTAGAGCCGGGGCTGAACAGAGGAGGGAAGGGGCTGGCCCGGTGCCCTCATCCCCATTCCGGGAAGCGGAGCTCTGGATGGGGACAGGACCTGACAGGGACCTAGTAGGACCCAGGGAGTTCTGGGCCTGACCCCAGAACCCCATGCTGTGCCCACACCCTTCCCTGCTCCCAGGCCACGGTCCTCTGTGACCTGCTGCTGCTCCACATCCTGCCCAAAAGGCACTACTACAAGCAGAAGAAGTTCAAGTACGCAGAGGACATGGGCCCAGGGGCGGTAAGAGAGCTCCACGCTGTGGCCTCCCAAGGCCTCGGGTCGTGTGTCGGGGTGGGGGCTGGGGCAGCTGCTTCTCCAGGATGGATGCTCACCCCCTCCACGCACACACAGGGTGAGCGGGACCCCGCGGCCACCAGCTCCACCCTGGTCTTGCAGGAGAACATGAAGACGTCCTGACCCTCCAGAGAGACGCAGCGCGAGGCTTCAGGCTGGAGCCCTGGTGGGTCCCAGGGAGCCTCCTGCCTTCTGAGCCCACAGGGGCGCTGGTTTCCCAGCAGCTCAGGGTGGACCCTAGGAGTCACCCGTGCGGTGTGGGGTGTCTCCAACTCCACACCCCCAAAGGGAGCTCTGTGCCATTTTAGCCACTCCTTGGCCGAGATGGCTGGGGCTGGGCAGGGCCCCTCTCACTCACCCGTACCCCAAGCTTTTGTGTTCCCCTCTTGGAGCCTTCATTGTCCACCCCACTGCCTCAGTTTCTCTGGATCTGTGACCTCACATGGAAGCCGCAAGCCACAGTTGACTTGTTTAAATTAGAATAGAATAAAGTCAGAATTCACTTGCTCAATCAGACTGGACACGGTAGACACACGTGGCTAGCAGCCGCCAGACCGGACCACACAGACAGCTCCAGTGGACAGCTCTGCTGGAGCCCATTCCTATCGTCCTTCGAGTCCCCATGGAAGCTTATCAACAACACCTCCTGATCTGGAAGCTCCAGGGCCAGCCACATGAACTGCCTGCTAACAGACTCCCCGGGCCATTCGGGGCTGAAGCGCTCTCCTAGGACTTTCTGCCTCCCAGCTCCTGGGCGGGTGTCACAATCAGCCCTGGGCAGGTGAGGGCTTTCAGCAGGGTCCCGTACGCCCTCAGCACGTGTGTGGCGTGCTCACGTGTCACACGGGGTCTCATGCACACTCTCCCACGTGCACACGGCTCTCCATCCACTCGGTGGATCTGCACAGCATCGATCCTGCCAGCAACAAGCACCTCCCAGCACAGACTCACGGACGCTGCTGTGGCAGCTCTATGGGGAATGCGTTCTCCCAGTGTGCCAGGCCAGGACGGCTCATGGAGCCACGAATCCTTCCTCAGCCACCTCGGGTTGGGGTGGGAGCCTCCACTGAACTCTGGGCTCCCTGCCTGTGGCTCAGCCCCAGCTCTCAAGGCCTGCCTGGCTCCGTTAGAACACAAGGGCTGCGGACAGCGAGGGGCGGAGTACAATAAAGGGACAAACTTCTGCCGTCTGTGCTTTCTTTCCAGACTTGCCAGTGTGCCCGCCTGTGAAAGGCAGGGCTGGGCTGAGCAGTCTCCGGGGTCCCACTCAGCAGGTCGTGGTGAGCTGACCCAAGGGCCTCCAGCTAGCAGAGTTGGAGCTGGGCGTCAGCTCACGTCTGTCCACCAGGCGCTGTCTTGGCACAGCCTTGAACACTGGAGCCCATCCCAGGCCTCCATAAGCTCCTCCCTTGGCTGTGAGAGGCCTGGCGCTGGAACAAATCGAAAATCCGGAGGGAGGGAGGGAGGGAGGTGTCTCGTGAAATAGGGGTGAGGAAGGGCCTGGCTGTCTCTGGAGGGGATACTGGAGAATCCTTAAGAGGGTAGGAGGGCTTGCCTGGAGACGGTGTGGCGGGATCTGCCGGGGGCCCTGCGATGGGCTTGACCTCCAGGTCTGGATCTATGGCCAGGAAGGGTCTCCGAGCCCCCATCACTGTCCACAGTCTGGACCGGTGCTGTCCACGAGGATGTCCTGCAGTGGTGGAGAGGTTCTGTGCTGCCCCCCACCGAGGGGCTGTACCCACTCACTGCAGTGGCCACTGAGCACTGGAAACATAACCAGAACAATTGAGGAGCTCAAGTTTTTATTCACTTTTTAATTTTTTTTAAAAGTTATTTGACAGGTAGAATTATAGACAATGAGAGAGAGAGAGAGAGAGAGAGGTCTTCCTTCCATTGGTTCACTCCCCAAATGGCCGCCACGGCCTGCGCTGTGCCGATCCGAAGCCAGGAGCCAGGTGCTTTTCCTGGTCTCCCATGTGGGTGCAGGGCCCAAGCACTTGGGCCATCCTCCACTGCCCTCCCGGGCCACAGCAGAGAGCTGGACCAGACGAGGAGCAACTGGGACTAGAACCCATCGCCCATATGGGATGCTGGTGCCGCAGGTGGAGGATTAACCAAGTGAGCCACAGCACCGGCCCAAGTTTTTATTCACTTTAAAAAAGATTTATTTCTTTGAAAAACAGAGCAACTGAAGGAGAGAGAGAAAAAGAGAGAGATTTCCAACTGATGGTTCATTTTCCAAATGCCCACAATAGCCAAGGCTTAGGCCATGCTGAAACCATGAGCTAGGTTTCTCACACGGGTGCAGGGGCCCAAGCACTTGGCCATCTTCTGCTGTCTTCCCAGGTGCATTAGCAGGGAGCTGGATCAGAAGTGGAGCAGCCGGGACTCAAACTGTGCTCTGATATGAGACGCTTGCGGTGCTGGTTACCCCACTGCGCCAGCATGCAACATGCTGGCTCCTTTTACTCCCTTTTGACTCATTCAGATACTCACACGTGGCTAGTGGCTCCCTGCCTGCTCAGCACAGGCCAACCTCCCCTCTTCCTCAGGCCCTTGGCCTTCTGCCTCTCCCCCAGCCAAGAGCCATCCACGGCTCAGGTTTTGCAAGCCAGACTCTCTTCTGCCCTCCCTGGCTTCTCTAGACCCACCTACCTTCGCACCTCCTGCCCCCATCCTGCTGGATGAGCAGAGAAAGGCTCCTCCTCTGTCCCTCCCCCCTGCCCCACCCCGGCCCAGAGACTTCAGGGCAGTCGCTGCCCTTCTCTCTCTCCCTGAGGGCTGGGTGCCCTCTTCTGCCTCCTCCCACTCATGCTGCCCCACAGCTCCATCCACTTCACTGCCGCCCTTCCAGAAAGACCAGTTCACACTTCCCTCTGCAGTTGGCCTCTGCCTCCATGGCTTGTCCCAGACGCCCTTGCCAAGGTCACCTGCAGTGTCCCTGTTGCCAAATCCAAGTGGACACTTCAGCCCAAACCCTGCTCGGCCCGTGGGTACCTGATGCTGCTGCCCAAGCCCCCTCTTTGGTCAGATTTCCCTCCAGCAGCCCCAAGACCCAGCTCTCCTGGTTTCCCAGGCATCTTTGGCAGGTGTGTGGGGCAGAGATGGGCTCCTGCCGCAGCTTGGCTGCGGCTCCGGCGTGTCGGGGGTGGTGGCAAGTTGCTCAGCTCTCCAAGCTGCCTCTGTGACCCAGGGCTGGCAACAGACTCTATGAGGGCTGGGGTGAGACAGGATGTGGACAGTGCCCTGCAGAGAGCCTGGCACACCACCTTGCTCTGCCCCTCCATCTACCACCCTTCAATGGCGGAGTCGGGCAACTGTCCCTGGAATCTGTCTTCTCTGTGGTAATACAATCCTTGCCTCTTGGCTGAGCACGTGGCTGCCTAGAATGGACACTGCATCTCCCAGCCTCCTTCTGCAGCTGGATCTGGGCACCGGCCTGACTTCCAGCTCACGGGATGTATGCAGAGGTGTCGTGTGGCAACTACGGGGAACCAGCCTCAAAAGACAGTTGGTAGGTGCAGAGCTGTGCCTTTTTCATCTTCATCCTTTTCCCCATCCTTTTGCCTGACATGCATACGTGATGGCTGGAGCTTTAGTCACCATTCTGAACCATGAGGACAAGAGCCATACCCAGAGGTTGCTAGGGGAGAGTGGACGGAGCCACATCTGGGAGGTGTCTGTGGATCAGAGCCTCCATGCCAGTCCAGGGCTGTTTTTATGTGGGGATTCTGTTGCCTAGGTTAAACTTCAGATCCTTCCTGGTACAGAAATGGTACCCCCGTCCTTGGTTCTTGTTTCATTTGCTCTTTGAGTCATCTCATCCTTTCCCATGGGTCTAGTTACGGACATGGGTCCTTTCTGTCCCTCCCTCATTGCCACATCCAACTAGTTGCATGCAACAAACATCCATTGCACACCTAATGCCATGTGTCAGGCTGTGTGCTGCGGGAACCACGCAAAGGCCCTGCCCTTGAGCCGCTCCCAGTCCGGAGACAGGCAGACATGGGGCTCCAGGGAGTCCCCAGCAGGCAGCTCACCCAGGCTCGGCAGTGGCGAGGTCACAGGCGGTGGAAGGGCCATGGAACTGAGCCCTCAAAGACAAGCACGGCTTAGGGGGACGGTTGTAGAAGACTTGATTGGACCAGTTCTCAGGGTAGCCGTGCTCGGAAGAATCCTAAGCAGATGCTGAGTGGTCAGACTTGTGTTTGTCAATGATTGCTCTGTTGTCAAGTAGAGACAGGTGATGGCAGGCAAGAGTGGTTGGGGGGGAGGCCAATGAGGAAGCTGCGGGGGTAGTCAGGTGCAAGACGGGGTGGCCTGAGTTGAGGGAGGGGCAGGGGGTTAGCGGAGTGGACGGGTTCCAGGGACGTGTACAAGGCAGCCTGGCAGGGCCTGACGGTTGGCTGGTTGGAGCGGGAGCAGGTAGGCTACAGCTGACTCCCACTTTTTCTGACTCTAACCTGGGACAGACACAGGAGGCCAGGTTTGGGGCGAGTGTGGGGTGACTGCGGGAGGCCTCACAAGGAGAGCACTCGGCATAAGGCATGGAGCAGGCGGCCCTTGGCCCCCGACCCCGCCGCCCCAGCTCGGCCACTCCTGCGGGCTGCTCAGAGGCATTCCCAAACCCAAGCACTCTATGCTAAAAAATCCTCCCTACCCCTACCAAGGTCAAAGCTGAACTCCTGGACCTGCCACTCAAGGCGTCTCTCAACACCTCGGCTTTACCCTCTTGCCTGTCTAGGAGGCCCTGACCGGCCTTGTCCGCCCCTTGCACGTCTTGAGCTTCACCCCCACCGGAAGGGGGCGCTGTTGCCCCAGGACGCCAGGATTGGGAGCGGGACAAGGGATCTGGGAAGGAAGCACCTGCACCCCTTCGGACCAGCCACCGGGCCCGTGCCAAGGCCTGGAGCGATTTCGAGGGGACCCCAGGGCAGTCGGTATCAGGCCTCCCGGGGGCGTGACGAGCCCCGGCCCCGCCACAGGGGAGAGGCCCCTTCCGAGCCTCCGCCCGCTGCAGCCCCGCCCCTCCAGGAGCCGGGCGGGCGTCCCGGGCTCTGATTGGGCGGATCTGGGGTTGGACTGAGCGTCTGGACCAATGAGTGCGGGCCGGGCCTGGCGGCGGGCGGGGGAGTCGGCGCTGCCTGGAGCCGCGGCGCCGGCGGTCTGAGCTCGGCGATCCC